TATACTTGATGTTCTAGTTTCAATACTTATATATAATATTTAGTATATACGGTAACACCATACCTCAATTCATTCAAATATTAATAACTTCGTAGTTTATCGACCAAACAGAACTCGAACAATTTGATGGTGTATCCGCTGGTAAATATACCATCGGTTTGGGTCAGACCCAAATGGGATACTGTGATGACCGTGAAGGTATGTCCAATTTTAAGAATATTTTCACTATCATTTCTTTACTGGCATGATTAATTTAGATTTATATTGTGAATTTTAGATGTCAATTCCATTGCACTGACTAGTAAGTATTACTTAATAATGTTCATTACTTTTTTTAGTCATTAGAGTCATAATATTTGTATTTTAGCCGTGCAAAATCTCGTCGAAAAGTACAATATCTCTTACAAGGATATCGGTTTTCTTGAAGTTGGTACTGAGACTATCAGTAAGTTTTAAATTTCAGCCTTTTACTGATTTTTGACTGTATAGTGTTGATTGGTTGCTTTATCCTACAGTTGATAAATCAAAATCTGTAAAAAGTGTTTTAATGCAACTCTTTGCTGAATCTGGAAACACCAATGTCGAAGGAATTGACAGTAAAAATGCTTGTTACGGAGGTAGGTTTCACTATTTTTAATTTGCTTATAAAATATTTTATATAGATTTGTTTTATTACTTTTTTAGGTACGAATGCTCTTTTCAATGCCTTGAACTGGATAGAATCGTCTTCTTGGGATGGTCGTTATGCACTTATTGTTGCCGCAGATATTGCAGTATATGCTACAGGACCAGCACGTCCTACTGGTGGCGCCGGATGTGTTGCATTGCTCATTGGTAAAGATGCACCAATTGTTTTTGATCGTGGTAAGCTTATTTTACATTTCATAATCGTATAATCTTTTTTCTATTTCTACAACAGATAACACGCGTTTATGAATTATAAGGTCTTCGTGCAACTCACATGGATCACGCATGGGACTTCTGTATGTTGATTAAACTCTTTTCCCGATAAAGCGAGAGTTGTTTTTAACAAACTTCTTAATTTGAAATTCAGATAAACCTGATTTATCTTCAGAATTCCCAGTGGTAGACGGACACCTCAGTAATGCTTGTTATTTGAGATCCTTGGATTTGTGTTACAATCGCTATATTGAAAAATTAATTGCCAAAGTATTATATTATACATTTACTTTATTTTTTGATCGGTCTGTCATAGCTGATACATATGTGATGACAATAGGAAAAAATAGACAGACCTACCATAAACTACTTTGATTACATGCT